GTACCGGGCAGTGCGTGAGAGGAGGCGGGAACAACCGGCCCGGTAAAGAGCGGTGACCCCCGGGGGGTGGGCTTTCGTGCGGGGACCGGCCGGGGCTGTGGTGCTCCCTGGAGAGCCCCCGGCGGCGGGAGCCATGTGCACGGCCCCGGCGATGCCTCTAGCGGCCTCCGCTGAAAAGCGTCTGTCCCGGTGCGGGCTCTGCCCCACCGCTCCTTGGGGGTGCAGAACGCCCTACACGGGGAGGGAAGCGTTTGTCTCACCCGTTGGGGCAGGAGAATTCACCAGTTGGACCTTGTCCTCTCCACCCAAAAGCTGGGAGGTGATGGGAATGCACCTCCCGAGGTTTCACCCGCGTTGCTTAGCCTCTCCCATGCTCAGTCTAGACTGTGGTGACTTGAGGCTTGACAGTTTTGTGCTTTGGGTGTAGCTGGTGCCTTTGAACTACTCAGAAGAGCATCATATTCTTAAAGGTGATGATAAAACTATTCAGGAAAGATCAGAGGCTGACACCACCTTGCAGCCCATAATGCAGTTCCACTCATGTCGTCTGTGTTCCCCCCCAAGCTCTGAAACCTGAGATTCATCTTGTTTTCTGTCTTTATGCTCTATAAGTCTTGCTGCCATCCTGTTTGAAGAAGCTAAAAAGAAACAAGAGGCTAGAACTTATGCAGAGTCCTTAGAGCTTGGTTTAGAGCAGTGCACTAAGCAGATATATATACACAACGTAAAGACTCTTGAATGATTGCTCCAACCCCACTCCTTTCTTCTGGAAACTAATTTTTTTTCCAGGAGAATCCAGGATGTGCATGTGATGTAGAATATGATGTTTCTGTTCCGTGGGTATTGATTGTGACTGAAAGCTTCAAAGGTAGTACAGAGAGTTGTAGAAGAGAGTTGTAAAAAGAGTCTGACTTGCAGCTGTTGCACTGTTCTCCTGGCTCTTTATTAACTGCTCTTATCCATCCAGTTGGCTAGCCAGCAGGTTCTTATGTCAGCAGGTAATGTGACTTTAAGACTTAATAGATATCTTATTTACCTTAATATGCTGATAACAGTTGCTTCCAAGAAAAGCTAAGGTTGCTTCAACAGAATAGTTCATTGATACTTTTGTACAATAATCTTGAATCAGCTTAGTAAGCCCAGTTGGAGATGACACTTGTGTGCTAACTACGGTTAATTCAGACACTTACCTAGAAGAAAGTTCTTGTTCTGGTTGAAATCCTTCACGGGAGATTGGTGTGTGCTGTAAGTCAGTGTGCAATAAAGATAACAGCAGTTTGCTGATGGTAGTCAGCAAGACTATAAATACCTATTGGTCATCAAAAACATGCTGAAGAAGAGAGGAGGAAGATCAGAGAATGAAATAATAAAATTAGAAATCTACCCTGAGGTCCTCTGTAAACGAAGGCATTGGGACTGGCTTGGGTGATTGTCTGTCCACGTGTTCCTAGAGTTTGATGTGGCAGCAGTCTGCAGAGTTGGATGAGCGTCTCCAGTGCAAGAAGAAAAAAGCCTTGGAAGAGCTTTGTCCTCAGTAACCAGACTGACTTCTGGTTACTTCCAAATCTGTGGCAGGATTCTCTAAACTGAAGTGTTGGAAGTACTTAGCAGATAATCTGTTCCTACGTACGCGCTGCCCTGTGTGAAACCTCCAACCTGAGACTGTGGGTTTCTTTCCAGCCCTGCCTCTGCTGCAGGTGTCTCGATAGACACGCTGAAACTGGCAGTTTGCTGCTGGCAAACAGGACCTTTGGCTTGTATTCAGCCCCTTCATCAACAGGGATTAGTGTGCATTACATCTAGGAGGAAATTAACCCCCAAAGCCTTTCCAAAGTGAAATGCTGGAGGGCTTCTCTGTTCAAGCCAGTGAGTAGCTGTTACGACTCTAAATCTAATAATCGGCTGCAGCAGAGCTTCTGGTGGGAGTTTGGCTCAGCTTTCTCTGCTGACTGGCCGTCATCCTTGCTTCTTTTGTACACTGTTGCTTTTAGCTGAGGCTGTTGTACTTCTGATTCGGGGGGATCAAGGCCTGTTCTGGAGTGTTTACACGCTCAGCTTGTGTTGACATCAAGAGTACAGGCTGAGTGCTTTTAGCCTTACTGACCAAGCCATTAAATTTGATCAGTGAGCGATGTAAAATAGTTACTGAGCAAATAAGCAACAATGTTCCTGCTCAACACCCTTGATTATAGGACACTGTTGCCCACAGACCCTTGGGAATGGAGTCCCCTGGTTCCTCTGCAGGCATATGTAATTGGCTGTGTTTTAATTTGTATTTGGATACAACTCTCCTTTCCTCATCTGTTCCCAGTGTGGAAATAGGTGAGAGTGTACGCGGGGAGGATGTCTACATTGTGCAGAGTGGCTGTGGTGAAATCAATGACAATCTGATGGAGCTCCTTATCATGATAAATGCCTGTAAGATTGCCTCAGCCAGCAGAGTCACAGCTGTCATACCCTGCTTCCCTTACGCTCGGCAGGACAAAAAGGACAAGGTAAGGGATGTGGTAAAGGTTTCTACTGGCAAGATAAATGCACATCTCAAAAGTCCTGACTGCTGGATAGGGATTAAGTGAAGTTTAGTATGTAGAAGACAATATAAAACTTAATTTCTTTAAACTTCAGGGCATTAGACTGCAAATTCATCTTTTCATAAAGATCTAGTTCTTGAAAATACACCAAGCTGTAATCACCAGCTGATGAAAAGATGCAATGTTAATGAGTACTCCTTTTAGTAACTGCTTGTGAATCATTGCCTAGAAGTGGAAGACTGACATCTTGATGAAGGAGTTGAACTTACCTTAAATACTGTTTTTTTTTCCCTGCACTAGAGTCGAGCTCCAATCTCTGCCAAGCTGGTTGCAAACATGCTGTCTGTGGCAGGTGCAGATCATATCATCACCATGGACCTGCATGCATCTCAGATTCAGGTAGGAGCTAAAACCAGGGAAGTACTTACCTGCTGCAATATGAGCCTCTTTACTGCCTTGCAGGCTTTCCTGATCTGTTGTTTGGGGTTTTTTTTACACACAGCAATGATCAGGACTTGGGAATGTGGGACTAGAAGGGACTTTTAGAATCAGTCAGATCCCAGAGGATGGGGAGATGGATAACAGGTTCATCTGTAAATGAAATTATAGCTGTTCTTGATCAGATTAAGCTTAATGAGCACTGTGTAAAGGAACGTTGGGCTAGTAAATGATCTGTGCAACTTCACTGCCACACTGTGTATTCTTAACTGGTCCTTTGAGGAACTTGAGATGGAGAATTTGCTTTGTCAAGAGTGTTCTTAAATGTTGAGTAGAGCTTTCTGATATTTACTGAACTGTCAGGGTGAAGTGAGCAGTGCTCTGTTTGACACAGTGGCTGGTGATCCTGCTGCCCAGAGCTTAGCTGTGCCTCCAGCTGTACTGGCACAGCTGCTTAGAGGGTTCAGTTCACCAGGGCAGTGATCTGAGAGCCTGTGGCTGACGAGATGGGCAATCCCATTGGTATCTGTTTAGTGCCACCCTTCCACATAAGTTGGCTTTGGGGTTTTTTTTGACACTGCTGGTAAATTGAAGATTATTCATGTGTTTTGCTGGCTTAGTGAACAGAATAGTTTCACAGAGCAATTGAAATCTTGACAAGAGCTGTGTAAGAGAAGTGGCAAGAGCGTATACCAGGGAGAGAAGGGACAGCAAGCTGTTAAATTATCAGTCTTGTCTCTTTCCACCTTGAGCAAGTGCTCTGAGACCAAGAAACCATCTCAGTGTGACTGAGAGGGATTTGGTAGAGGGGAGGATATCCGTTGTATTGCTGCAAACACTTTGAGTCCAGAAGGATAAGGTAGTTACTGCCTGGTGAAGTAGGTCATTGACAGGCTGCCTGTCGTTTTGACAGTTGAAAATGCTGCCATTCACACTCCAGTATAATTTCTTCCAGTATAATTTGCCCAGAAATACTTTCTCTCAGATGGAAAAAAAAAAAAATCTAAGGGAGCACAGCTGAGATTTTCAAAAAGACCAGAGCCCAGGGGGATATGCCTCTTCCCTGAGAAGAGGCTTGAGTTGTGATGTGTGCCATAGGGTTGACCTTTCACCAGCAGCAATGGTGAGATTCAGTTGAATAATTGGGTTTGTGTATATAAGCTTCCAGCATCTGGCTGGTTTCAGCCTGGTTCTTGTAGTTGCTGGGTTGCTGAGCAGAGAAGGAATGATGGTAGGAAGGATTTGTTACCCCTATACCTTGAAGTATCCCTCTAGAGTAGCTGCCCCCACTCCTGTCCAGGATTAACTTCTGGCTTTTGGTGACCTTTGAGGTTTACCTGGAGGAGTCTGCTGGGTCAGTGGAAAGCTGTGGAACCAGATGCATTGGCTTAAAAACAAATGTTACTCAAGCCTTTTTCATGGGTTTCCTGTAGATGCAAACAGTGTAGGTAATGAGCTTTAAAGATTGACTTTGTAAACAGGCAGCTAGCTGCTCTGGAAATGAGTGTGTTTGGTGCTGGTTTTCTGCACCCTCTTAGGATAGAATTGGTTCCATGTTGTGGAGGTGTCAGATGTAAAGTGTTATTTATGCTACTAAACTATTTTTGGCTCTGAAGACTTCTTACATTACTGTTCTGTGTATCCCAAAGACTACTGCTCTTGCATTAAGGGAAGTAGAAAAGAAAGCTGAAGGCTGTGGAAAGGTGGTGGCTGTCTGCCTGATCATATAGCAAGCTTCTTCTAACTGTTTTTGGAATGTGACCTTCAGCTACATCTGTTCCTCTCATCTTCCTTGCAGGGTTTTTTTGATATCCCTGTTGATAACTTATATGCTGAGCCTGCTGTACTGAAGTGGATCAAAGAGAATATCGCGGAGTGGAAGAACTGCACCATTGTTTCACCTGATGCTGGTGGAGCCAAGAGGTAAGCTGTCAGACAGCTCACTTGAGGTTCTGCTTAAATTCCTGAGAGTGCTTGTGATCTTACTCTTAAGACACGTTCCCTCTGCCAGCCTGCCTCCTGTAAGACAGTCTGCAGCAGCTAGGGCAGAGTAATCAGATATTCTTCCTAGGGAATGTTTAGAGGGTTTCTTGGGCTACGTGGGGAATTAAATAGTTTCTAGAATCACAGCTGCATAGGTAGGAATTGTGCAATTACTACATCCCTTGGGCTAAAACAATTTTTTTGTAGGAGGGTCATTATGCAGGTTGAAGGAGGGAATAGTGCAGCTCCTCCCCTTCTGCCAAGACAAGGTCACTGCTGCTGGTTAATGAAACGTTTTTATCCAGGCTGTTTTCTTTGTAGTATTAAGCTTAATCTGTTGAGACATTTTCTTACTTTATTGCTCTTGATTTGAGTATCTAGCTGGGACTTCAGCCTGCTGCTACTCTTCCTTTTCCCTGAGAGCAAGAAAGATAGATGGTTCCTTTCCAAAAAGCAGCAGCATATGTTATAGCACATTTCTGCTTTGATAGTCTGACAATCTGCCATCTTTCTGCAGAGAAACATGCCAGTTTGTGGGCAGTTCAGAACGTTCTCAGGTGCTTATAAGGAGAAACTAGGCTGTTCCTTGATGTTTGTGTACAAGGGCTGCATGTGAACAGTAAATGGACACAGATGTATTCTTTAATCCAGGACTGTCACACCAAAATACTGGTGTGTGCTGACCTGATTCACACACTTCAGAGTGTTCTAAACTATCTGTTATAAACAACCAAGGGATAACTGGCCCTGTAGGTCACTGTATGTCTTCCTGTAGCTTTGTTGTGGGCTGTGCATTGGACAAGACCTTTTGTATATGCAGCTGCTTCTGTAGCTTGTTGTGTAATGCAGTGTATGAAATGCCAAGTCAGCCAGCTATAATCTGGCACATGAGTAAACCTCTTCAAAAGCCACTTAAACTGAAAGTCAATCTTAGCTTGTGTAATATTTTATGGAGATACTGCAGAACTAAATGCTCTAGTAAACAGTTTTAAACAGTCTTCTGTAGGACTCCCAGTGTGATGAGTCTGATCTACTGAGGCGAAGAGTCCACTCTTCTTAAGTGAAGAATTTCTTATGGGCATATGTATTTTGTTCCTTCTCACTCTTAATGCTTTTAAACTCTTCACTATTCATCATTATCAATTTGTAAAGTTTAGGTCCTTCTAGTAAGGTTGTTCTGTGGTCACTTTAACCAAATTACATGTGAGGTAGTGGACTTGTATTTCTTGGATGTATCCTCCTGCCACTGTCCCTGTGCCAGCACTGGTGTGCGTGACAATTGAATGTTTATATGAGTGCAAGTAGATCCCTTTCATAGTACAATTTAAGCCTTTCCAGCGTAGTATTATAAAGATGACAACTTCCCAAGCACTCTGATCACTTCAGGTTTGCCAAACTTACTGGTTAAGGTTTGTTTTGAGCTTTAAATGCAAATTAATTTACAGTGGTCTAGATGAAAGACTTTTATCTTAATCTAGTTGCTGTCATCAGGAGAGATTAGATCAGAGATTGCAGTTCAAGTGCTTGAAAGAAAACTAAGGTGGCAGAGTGTCTTCTATTAATTGCTTGGGAGCAGTAACGGATGTGGTGACAGCTTCTCTGACTGCAGTGGCAGTTTGTGTCTAAGAGTTTTAAAAGAGCTTCTATTGAAGCTGTCGTGTGGAGCTAAGAGCTGTTTGAAAACCTTTCTTTCTTCAGAGTGACGTCCATCGCCGATCGACTGAACGTCGACTTTGCCCTCATTCACAAGGAGCGCAAGAAGGCCAACGAAGTGGATCGCATGGTGCTGGTGGGTGATGTGAAAGACAGAGTGGCCATTCTGGTAGATGACATGGCAGACACATGTGGTACCATCTGTCATGCTGCAGACAAGTGAGTAGGGCTGACTGATTCTTTGCTAAATCAGAAAGCTGTTGTTAGTGCATGCTATGTAATAAGTTAATCAGATTGTTTGCCTAGTTAAAGTTCTCGCAGTGGGAACAGGTAGAAGACCATAGTGTCTTTATTTATTTGAAAAATGCTTGTGTTGAAAGTACATCTTCCACTAGACCATCACTGACTATCCTAGGTAGAACTAAGTGCTGCCTGGTCTGTCAACATAAGGTCATACATCTGAATTTCTATTAGAAGTAAGCTTTTCAAGCTTTCATATCTTCCAGCCCTTCTACACCAACATATGCAACACTCAGTATTAAATATCTGATACCTTGTGTTGGCAAAAAGGATGGAAGGTGATTTGTATGATCTGGTCCAAATGTCCCAGAGCTAAGAACATTTTTTTTTTCACTGTATACTTTGCCTGTGGTGGATTTTATGGTACTTGTTAAACTGTTTTCTTCTCACAAATCAAGAGTGGGCTCGAGTGGGGAATCAAAGCTAGCCTGTCCCCTAAGCATATGGTGTTGTCTCCTTTTGTGCTTGCTATGTACCCTGCCCTAATGTCAGTTTAATATTTGGCAAGAATTTCCCATCTTTCTCCTATTCCCCCCCGGTAGGCTTGTGTCAGCTGGAGCCACCAAAGTTTATGCCATCTTAACTCACGGGATCTTTTCTGGGCCAGCAATTTCTCGAATCAACAATGCCTGTTTTGAGGCAGTTGTAGTCACAAACACAATACCCCAGGAGGACAAGATGAAGCAGTGCCCTAAAATCCAGGTGAGCATCTACTTTCTCTTCTGTCACTGCTGGGAGGTGATAGCACTTGCCTGTACTCCTGTTGGTGAGGAAAACCCTGTAATACTGCCTAGTGCTGCAGCAGTTTCATTGGTACTGGAATCAGTGGCAGAGTTGACTAGTTCTCTTGTTCATGTTGCTGTGGGGTAACAGACTTGTTACACTGATAAAATGCAGCTTGTAATCCAGCTCATCTCAAACAGTTCATTTAAGTACATTTTTTTTCAGGGCTTTTTTTTTTTTACCTAGATCAGATCACTGCTCTAATGGGGCCATGACGTAAGCAAGCAGTTCTGTATGTACACTTTGGAGGTGTGATATGCTGATGATGTGTAATACTGAAGCAGAAGGAGATGGGAACTTGTGAAGTTGGTAGTGCCAGCTTCAGTTGTGTATCTATCACCTAACGCCCAGCCCTTTAAGCAGAGTGTCTCTACCTTTTGTGAGGCAAAGCAGACCTGGTCTGGGGAAGGTGAATGCTTCACCTCTGGTCATAACAGCAGTGCAGGTGAGCTGGAGAGGGACTGCAGTCTTGTCCCACAGGCATGTCTTGCTGGTTTGACTAAGAGCATCCGTAGTACAATGTTCAGATGCTTGCCAGAGATGAACAAAACCACATTGCCATCCATATGAAATCGAAAAGTTGGCCTCTTGATGGTCACCCTGTGTCTTGGGTTTTCCATTTAGGAATAGTACTGTGGTATTTTGTTTCCCAAGCTGAGGCTGACTTTCCTGGAAGAAAAATATTCGCTGTACAACTTGAGCTAGGCAGAACTTGAGGATTTCCTGTGTTAATGGACAGCTGGAAGTTGCAGCTTTACCTGAGCTTTCAGGCATAAAAGGTCTATCAGAAGCTTCAGGTACTGCTGTAGCATACACACAGCCAGGGACATCCTAAATACTAGCTTCACAGCACAGATATATAGGGCACAGGCATTTGGAGAAGTTCTGGAAAGTGAATGGCACTGCTAAGGCTCAGCTGTGTTGTAAGCATAGCAGGTTTCCCAGCACTGGGGTCTGGAGAAAAGGAAGTGCAACTGGTTGAAGCTGCAGTGAATTTTAAGCTGCTTTTGGAAGTAAGTTATAAGCTGATTGCAAACTGCTATTGAGTTGTATTTTTTTCAACACTAACTTCTGGATGATATTCCTGCAACTGAGCACTTCTAAAAGATGTCTAATGCTTTCAGCTTCTTTCCAAGCTCCTCCACACTACAGTTAATGTAGGCAAAATGTTTAACTAGTAATCAGAATGTAAACAGTGGTGGCCAAAGATTGCAGAGGAGCAGTTTTTCAGGCTCTCACTTAACACCTTACTTTTTTACACCAACATCTGATGTTCAGTGTTGGAAAATACAGAACTAAAGGATTTGTCCTAAGTCTCGTGCTCACTCTGCTCTGCAGCTCTTAAGTTTTTTTTCTTTCCTTGCATAGGAGGCAAACTGTCTGGAAGAAAGCAAATGTTAAATATGGATATCACTTAATTTTCTTAATGCACCATGAACACGGTGCTTCTTACTGAGACCACATATATTGAAATGCTTTAGTGGCTGGGGTTCAGAGCTATAGAGTTTTATTGAGACTTGATTTTCCTTCCTCCTAAGTGGATTACCCCACCAGGTGGAGCCAGCACAGTGACTGGGAGCTGAGCTGCAGCACAGTAGCTTTATCTTTCTTAAAACTGCTGGCAGTGATGGCAAAGCCTCATGACTCAAGGGAAGAGATCTGATCTTGATTTCAACTCCCTAACTTCTCTGCAACCTACACAAAGTGAATAAGGTGGTCCTGGGGTAAACAAACTGAGCTTAGGGAGTCTCAGCAAAGAAAGGTGACAGTAGACTGTCGTCCTGACAAAGATCAACAGTGAAATAATTCTTGTAGTGCTATATGTAGAATATCTTCAGAATTACATGTTAATAAATCCCAGTCCTGTGTAGAAGTCATTTGTTTGCATCTGGCATGTTATAAATCTGGGTGATGAGTTTGCTCTCTAAGTTTCTTGTAACTTACCAGCCATTCTTCCAGCCTTGATGTCTTTTCTCAGTGATGCTGATGCATCTTTCTTTCCCTCCAGGTGATTGACATCTCAATGATCCTTGCAGAGGCCATCAGGAGGACTCATAATGGGGAATCTGTCTCCTACCTATTCAGCCATGTCCCTTTATAACAACAGATGCCAGCTGCTGTTTGTATGGCTTTTTTTTTAAAAACCAAAAGTTGTTCAGCTTGTTGTAAAGTTCAGTAGAAGACTCTGCTTGTTCCAGTGCAGTTCTCCACAGCTCCTCCTGCTTAAGTCAGGCTTACTGGCTCTGATCCCAACACTGGGAGGCTGGGGGAGCGGAACTCATCTCTGTAACACTCCAACTCCACCAGCAACCCTGTGCATTGGGGCTCATCAGTAGTATTGACTCAATTCTGCAGACCTGTGGAGAGCGGGACTGACACATGGCTAATTGCCACAATTATTTTGGGGGGTGGGAGGGAGGGAGGGAGAGGGTTTGTCTGTGGGCAGGGTTAGATGATCTGGCACACGCACCCTAAATTGTTTGGGAAGTAGAGCTCCCTAGGACATGTTGATCTGGATCTACAGCAAGAGCCCAAGAGACTGCTGGCTGTCTTACCACTCTGTACCTGACAGAAGCCCTTGAAGAGCAATGGGGAAGGCTTGTATCTTGGCCAGGCTTGACCCTAGGTGAAGCCCTGGGGGACACCTGGGAGGTGGTTCTGCTACAGCTTCCTCCCATGAAAGGAGATCAGCGTAGCTTGCAAACTTGAATTAATCTTAATTAATGGTGAAATTAAATGCCCTTTAGCATGTTACACAGCAAAGTGAAGGTGAGAGCATAGTCTGTGCAGTCCTGCCTTGCTGTGTTAACTTAGTGGTGAAGGTGCATCCTGGACAAGCATTCTTCTCCCTCTTAACGTAGACAACTCATGGTGGTTGTGTGCTTTAGTTTCTAGTGTAGGCTAAAACCAGGTCCTCAATTTCACAGCTTACTTGTTAGCGATTAGAGGACTGCTGTCATGTACTATAGCTGCACCTTGACTTGCTGTGTGAATCCTTGATCCCTTTTTTACCAGTACACTAGTAAACTGAGCCTCTTTATCCCATAGTAGCTTGGTGGTTGCATCTAGCAAGGGCCTGCTCAGATGCTAGACCTAACGTGTAACAGCTTTGTGTCCAGCTGTCTTAGCCTCTCATTGTCTGCAGTCCTGTTGTCCTGTAAGTTACTGACACATTCTGGTTGCTTCTCCTGGATGCCATCTGCGTTGCCCTGAAAGCATTGCTCCTTGCAAAAGATAAACGAAGGAGCATAGGAGGTTGCAGGACTACAAAACCTGAAGAAGCCCTTGGAGTGGGTCTGATGCTGCTAATGAGTGCTTACAGCAGTGGGTTGAAGAGGCTGTGATATGTAGTACTGGGAAAACTGTAGATCTAACACCAGCCTGACAGGCAGCAGAGTGCCTGCAAGAAAAATACCAAAACGAGAGCTGGCTGAGGCTCCCAGATGTAGTGAGTATCATCTGAAACTTGAATGCTTAGTAACTGTACCAGACAATCGTAAGGTAAACTGTTAAGTCTCCTCTGGACTCTTACGGGGTCATAGACCAAGCTGTTTTATGCTCTGATTTTTATAAGCACTCCTCTTTTATTTGTTTTTGAGCTGAAGGAAGGGAAAAAGGGAAAAGAAGGAACTTGAAATTACTGGCTAGAGTAGTCAGCATGGCTTTGAGAGGCTGGGGTATAAGTGGAACTGAAAGACTTGGTTAAGATCTAGGGAAGTACTCTTTAGTTGTGCCTTTTACTGAAGACTTCTCTCCCTTCCTAGAACTTCTGTCCTGTGTCAATGTTAACACTTCTCTTACAGTGTAGGGTTTTCCTTTTTGTATAAGAATTGGTGTTTGTCTGGAAAGTGTGTGTCTCTTGCTTCTTTGCTTTGCATCCTGCACTGAGCTCTACCCAGAGTCGGATTCCTGCCTCCTGTATCGGAGCCCCTGCTGCCGCACTGCCAATGCCCTGAGAGCCAAGAACCAGGATATCGGAGCAGCAGTGTGAGGATTTTCAGCAGCATTTGTGTTTAAACTTAAGACCTGATGAAGGAATTAAACTTTTATTTAAAAACCACGGCCTCTGCCTATAAATGCTTCTAAAAACCTTACAAAGGTGATGTGCATCTTCTGAGTTGGGTCACTTGCAAGGTAGATCATGGAATAATGTTATTTGGAAGGGACCTTTGAAGGTCATCTGGTTTAACCCTCTTGCAGTGGGGCTGACTGAGGTTCAGCTTGGCTGTGCTCACATTGCATGGAAGGAAAAGCTTGGGACTAAGCTGCTTCTTTTAGTTGGTTGAGGCTTTTGTCTGTATCTGATTTCCTAAACTTAATTCTTAGAAGTGGTGGTGCAGTTTCTCTTGTGCTGTTCATATAATGTTCAGGTTGGGAAAAACCTGAATAGTGTAGCAAGTGTGAATGAAGAATTGCTAAATATCTTGCACAAAGCTCGTGGTCAGAGGAAGAAGGAATACATCCTGAGAAGCACTTGTTCTTCTGACTAAACCATGATCCTTTCTCATTGTGTATTGTAGACTGGAAAAGTATAAATGAAGTCAGAAGGATGAGATGGCAGGTCTGCAGACAGGTCTTTGGCCTTACAATAGACTTCCAAGCCTAGATTGAACATTGCTTCAGGAAACATGACCATGGCCTCAGGTAGACTTTTGCTGGGGATCACTACTGTCATTCACCAGTTAAAACATAGCAATAAGTGAACTGTGTATATTTTTTTTTCCCTAAAATAGCAGGGGGGGTGATGCAGGTCTTGTCAGGGTGATGTAGCAGCAGACTTCACCTTCCTTAGAGAAGAAACAGAACATGAGCTTTACAGACAAAGAATTGTACAAAGGTGATTGATGTGTATATACTGTTTTCTTAGTTACTTTAATAAAACCTAGGGGTTGGGGTGGAGGAGGGCACAGACTTAGAATGCTGTATGACAGCACTGTAGCTCTTAAAAGGATGGGTGATACACGGGGTATGAGAACTGTCCCAAGGATGGTAAGCTCTTCTGCTCTAAAAACTTCCTTCAGATCAGAAGAGCTGGATACTTTACCAGAGTTCCTTTCCTAAATTAAAAAAAAAAAAACAACAAAACCAAACAAACAGAAAAAAACCACAATACATTCTAATTACTAAACCTATCTGTAGGCAGGTTGTGACTGACTGGCTAGAAGTGACCATTGTGCTATTAGAGCAAGTGTGGCTGCCTGTTACACATGCAGGTAGAATTAAAGTACTTTCCTCCCTGTCCAGGACAGTCATGAATGTAGTACCAGGCAGCCTTGGGAAGGGTGTCCCTTCACTCCAGCATGGGCTGGGAGGAAATCACCTCCTCAGGTGTGAATGGCAGAGAGCCAAGTTCCTCCAGTGTCCTCCCAAGTTTGGGAGTGGTGCAGGGATGCTCATCCCTTAGCCCAGGCAAGTTCAGCTCCAGCAGCATCAGCCATGCTGTGAAGTGCTTGTGCTGTCTTGAGCTACCTGCTGTAGTGGAGGTGATTGTCCAGCCTGTCCTGGAGAGTTACTGGAGTGAGTACAGACCACGCAGGGTGCTCTGGAGGGGTAGTGTCCTCTCAGGCTTTCTTCACAGCTGCTGAAATACCATAGAGAAAGCAAGTCATTACTTCCCCAGGAGAAAATCCCAAGCAAGTTCCTGTGCTTTTGTAGTTGGAGAGCTGGAAGTGCAGGATGGAGCTCCAGCAGCTCCCTGCCACAGACAGCCGCAGCATGGCTGCAGGTCTGCAGATGCTGATACTGGTGTCAGTAGCTGTCTCATGTCTCTCTGCTGTACAAACAGCAGCAGAAGGAAACACATTAATCAAAAGTCCTGCATGGTAACCCGGCTCACCTGCCCGAGTAGCTGAAGCTGACAGGCAGGGTGGAGATGCCTTGAGCCACTGTGAAAGCTGGGCTTGCCATTTGTGCCTCGCAGGCTTGGAGCAAGACCAGACAAGTCTCAAATTGCTCTCACCAGCAGCTCCCTCCTGCTGCTTCTCCCTGTGCTCTACTAGAGTACAGTTGATTTCTCATCTCCTAGAGTTGGTGTTTCTGTGATCTAGAGAAGGCAGCAGCTCGCCTTGCTGCTGTTGGGCAATGGGAAAGCAGTAAGGGTTAAAAGAACGCCTTTCTCTAGACTGCAAGGAGCAGCAAAATCCACAGGAGGAATGAGCCCTGGTGTAAGACATAACAGCTCCGGTGTGCTGGCTGCCTTCCTGGGGCTCTCTGCTGCCATCCCAGTGGAAGGAAAGGGTTGTGGCAGGAGGCTGGGGTTAAAAATGAGCAGGAAAAAGTGAAGTGTGGCCCTGGGGAGTAGGGGGACTGGCTCGCAGCTGGGCAGCGGTGGCTGAAAGGTGCTCATGTCCTGGCTGGCTGTGGTAGAGCCCTGCCTGTTGCTGAAGGCAAAAGGCTGAAAAAAACCTCTCTGATGAGATAGAGAAAACCTCCTGCCTCCTTCCT